GCAGTAGCAGCAGCAGTACTAGCAGCAGCAGCAGCAGCAGTCGTCGTCGTCGTCGTCGTGGTCGTGGCAGTGGTAGTCGTAGTCGCTGTCGCAGTCGTAATCGCCGTATGGTTCTGGCCGTGGTTTGTGCAGCCTGTGGATGGTGTCACGGAAACTTCTCACCAAAAAGGAACTAATCACACCACACAGGTGCATACTGAGCATTCTGCCCACGACGCTGGTCAGTCTTGCCCCGCTGCGTGTTTGACTTTTCGGGTGGGCCGCTCATGGCATGGCACCGTCACCACTGACAATCTGCACGCTTGTGCTTCAAAGCAGAATCTGGAGAAAACACTGTTAGTTGTGCAATCTCCACATCGCGAACTACAATACACATGGCTGAATTTCGGCCAACCATGTGCAACGATCCAAGTCAGCAGCACCGGGCCACTTGCAGGAGCGTTCTTGAACCAACGACCCCGCCCCAATGGACGTTGACAGTTGCCACTCCCTCTGCTTTTGGGTTTTATGGGCTGGTGCCGGTCCTAACGCAATGGGAATTTAAAGTTGCTTTTCCGACTGCAGAGGTTCGTGGATCACAGTACTTTCTCTGTCCTAGTCTTCCCTTCCATGCACAAAAGTGAAACTCATAAAATACAGTAGTTGAAAGCACTATAGCACGATCCTCGAAAATTCCTTCGTGCAAGGCATTTGGTGTCACAAAGTCGCTGTGATGTTACATCTGCAGTTCCGGGTCTGCGTACTGTACTTTCCAAGCATTTGATACTGTGGAATGGCTGTGCGACTTGCTGAATGCTGACTCTTGTGGTGGATGTTGCGTGCAATCACACGCCTCTTGCCGTTGCATACAGCCGACATTGGTTTAGTCAGAGCTACACGAACAGTTTTGTCGTGGGTTCGTGTCGTTGGCAGGGTTGGGTGGGGTGGTGTGTGTTCTTCTTTGGACAGGGTGCCGGTTGGATGTGGGGAACCGGGAGGCGTGTGGATGTCGTGTTAGGAGGGCATTACAAGCTGTTGGGCAGGCTTCTGCAGACATTGGGACGCTGTTGGTGCTTGGTTTATGGGGCCGCTGTGATGGTGGTGCAGACACCCGGCTGTATGGCCAGGCGCGCGGTGCCTGGGGGAAACGGCACGAACATTCAGCAGTTCAGAAGTAAGACGCAAGTGATGGCACGGACCTTGGTTTTTCTGTCTGCCTGGAGCGATTCAATGATGCTTTCCAGGACTGTCACGAGCTTGTGGCAACAGCTCTGACAAGGGATGGTGCAAGGTGTTTGGAGGATGCATTGCCCGGAGACTTGACGAGAACTGATGTCGCTTCATTTGCTTCTGCGCCTCAAAATCTACTTATCCGGTGCCACTGTCTGGATAGGGATGGGGCTTTCGACCACGTTCCCCATGTTCCAGTCATTCTGCTGCTCTGCGGAATGTCTTGTGCAAGCTGAGGTGGCTATTTGCGTTCTGGTGTGTATGCTGATTACGGCTTCTATCACACTTACGAGCAGGCTTGAGGGAATCTCCGGGGTAGAGGTAGGTCGTCTTCCGCCCGTGGCACTTTGGAGCATGTCAGGGCTAAGTTTTCTCACGGACAGCATGCATTCCAGCTTCAGCAAACCATGAATTGCTCTCATGCGGTTTGTGGTGCAGCACTAGCGCAGCATAGAGGTAGCGCAGACTAATAAATAAGACACCATGAAAGCCTCTTTGGCAGCTCTTTGGCAGCTTGAGGAGGGCTACTCCTTCCGCACCAACTGCATCGCTTCCTTTGAGCCGGGCCTTCAATTACGGGCAGCCTGCGATGTTTGTGGATGTGTCGGGCATAGATCTCTCAGTGAGGCTGGAAGCATACGGGTCGGACTAAGGAGAGCTCCCACAAGGAGTGGCACTTGCAGGCATGTTTCATTCTCCGGGTTGTGGCAGCTGCGTCGACAGATGTTGAAAAAGGCTTTGTGAGCTTGCCTGACATGGCTCGTAGATGCTCGTGGCGCTTGCAATCGCCTGCAGTGATCTATAGAATCTGTAGAGCTGAGGAGAAGCTGGTCGAAGAGACTCGGCCCATTCGGCGCGGTGTCTCCGAAAGCGAGCTTGGCTCTGAGCTGTCCTGAAACGACGATGGTGTTCACAAAGCAGCAAAGTCAGCAAAGGCTAAAGCGGAGAGGCCCCAAAGACTGGGCCAAAGACGCCGGAAGCTTGGGGCCGTGGAAGTTTGCCGGTGGCGAATGAGTCTGGAAAGGCCAGTGCCGAAGATGTCGAAAGTGAGGAACTCGGAAAAGTCACAAGTCCGGTGCTCAGCTTGGCGTTTTGGCGGACTGCGACCTAAGCTGAGGTTCTGGACCAGTTCAGTTGCGAAGTGCCTGCTACCAAATGGTCAACACGTGATCATCTTCTTTACAACACATTTGGCACAGCTTTCAATCTAGGTGGCAGCCGAAGATGTTGTCGATGCAACACCAGAGACGCAGTGCGCGGCTCACTCTGCTGTCTCTGTTTGGCACCGTGTCCGGGCTCTGTACTCTGCCAGGCCCCCTTCCCGGACAGTTTCGCCATCAAAACCTGTGAGCCAAAGCCCAAGAGACTTTGATGATGTCCGATGAGCACCCATGAATTGGAAAGGGTCGGCTCTCCGCCAAGTGAGTCACGGGTGCATACATTCGTCTGAGATGGGTAGCCGGCACGGGGCATCCTCAGGCCATCACGCGGTGAATGGAATTTGGTTTGTTGTGCTCTGCTTCATCATACTCGATGCCCTGAAACCTATCCTTGCCGCTTGACTGCAATCCGGCACAGCAGCATTATGTAAACTTGGGAGCTGACGAGTAGTGAAGTACATTTGGGCGTAATGTGAGTGTTTGTGTGGTTGCTCGAACCGTACTGAAAGCCGGCGGAAACTGCTGGCCGTGAGTCCTCCCGTCTTTGTTGATCGAAAGGATCGCTGTGGCTATAGTGTGGATGCACTCTGCTGCAGACTTCTATTTTGTCTGGTTCTCCTGGTACTTGGCCTGACTCGTCGAGTGCGAGTGCTAAAAAATGCTGACAAATGCTACACATGTCTGACAGACCGCATTGCGTGGTATTGGTGGCATCGCACACGTAGGACGCCTGGTCCAGACTGCGACTAAGTGACCAAGCTCTCATGACGAAATCACCAAGCCTTTCTTGGGAGTTGGGCTCGATGTGCAAACGATCCACCGAGACCAACTCGAAGAGTTTCTTGCAGCTATGACTGCAGTGATCTCGAGACGAGCAGCTGTCAGAGGGGCTTGGTGGCTTCCGTAATTAGGACGGAGGAGGAGTCACACTCAGAAACACGCTCGGCATTGTGTCGAGAGCGCGATTGGCAACTTTGTGCAATTTTTTTAACACCTGGGTGGTAGAACGGCAGGTCTTGGAGACCACACCAAGCAGCCCAGAACAGGAGCGGATTCACCGAGTTGGGAATCATAAAAAGGCCAGGATTTTAAAGTGAATTCGGTGTCGCCGGCTGACCGTGGCTATGTGCACTGCAAAAACCAAGGAACCTGCGCCCCAAAAAGACCCTCATTTATGCCAGCGGTGATACCCGAAACAGGGATAGAGCCCCATGACCACGACGAGCATGACCAGGACCAGCGGCCCACCACCACGACTGGAACCAAGATGACCGCGACAGGACGACCATGACCACCACGACCCAAGAGATCACCAAGAGAACGGTCAAAGTGCTTCACCCCATCTACTGGGGGGATCAGAGGGTTGACCAGCATGCTTCCCACCATGCTCTGGTGGGATATGCTTCCATCGCGTGTAAGCCAAAGGGACGTGAGCGTAAACTGCGCACCGCCCATCGCCGCGCTACAGCGAGAGCCCGGAACATTCCGCAGGCGCATCGTGGACCAATTCACTTTACTCCGAATACGCGAGCCTGGCAGCCCAGCAGCCTGTACCACACCGTTTGGGGACGCAGGAACCTAGCTAGCACGTCCGGCAAAACTTGCCAATGTTGGAGAAATTCCACGCTGAGCACGGGTCAAGCGTACTGGTTTCAGGTGACTTGGGCGAACCAGTCTCATGCGGTGCTGCCGGCATGGTCTTGCATCTTTCGCTACTATACACGTGTGCAGATGTATGCATCTTTACATTCCAGGAGGGCGAGCCCGGTTTCATTCGGGGGACTTTCGTGCTGGAACAGACCTCAGATTGATGTGCCTCGTGCGGGGTATTGCTGCATCTGCCCGAGTTGTCACACCACAACAGGGCTGCTGCTCCTTGAGTGTACATGCCCGGCACCTTCGCTTTCACACTTCTCTGGGCGCCGCACAGCAATCGGTCGTTTTTGTCTCCTAGATGCTCTTAGGTTCAGACAGCACTCTCGCTGCTCGTGGGGCTCTGCATAGCGGTGCGGCCGTCCCTGTCTTTGTCTCGACCTCATTTCAGGCGACGGGGAAAGAACGGGTCACACGGAAATGCGTCATGCCGACTGTGACACTTGCTGCTGCGACCAAGCATTGTGAAGTCATGTGAAGTCAAGGTGTCGTATGTCGGTAGCATGAGTGCTTGTACGGCAGGCTTCATCCTTTCTGGCGCTCAAGGGTGCGAAGATGCCTGAGCATGAAGGCCAGTTTGCTGCATGGCCTGCCCAGCTGAACTCAACAGACCTTCTGGTCCCAGGACCTAGGACGTCCAAGGGTTCCCGAAAGCAGCTGACATCAAGCCCTCGCGTCTGACTCCTTTCTTCTCTCCATTTCTCTGCCCTAGCAACAAGCCGAGCTGTTCTCTTGCTCCAGCACTTGCGGATGCATGCGGGCGAAGGTTGTGGTGTGGCAGCTGCCCGCCATGTCCTTGGCTAGATGCAAGTGTCGGAATTGCTCCACGACGGCCGCAGCTGTCAGTGGGCTCACGTTGTTGCTGAACCAGCTTCATTTGCCAGGTGTCGGTTTGCCTCTGCTTGAGCAAACTGCTGCTGGTTTATGCGCTCGGTCGCCTAGATGCAGGCTGGGACGCCAGGCTGCTCACTAGAGAGTGACAGAAAGACTGGCAAGCCTGAGAATAAAGGGCATCGGTCGCTCCGCCGCAGCATAATCTCCTCGCAAGCCCGCCATCGGCATCCAACAGTCCTTGCTGTTCGCAGTCAGCCACTGGAAATGCAACAAGGCAAGCGTGAGTGACCGAACTTTGCCTTGTCTGCCCAGAAGCAAGGTGCCTGCGGCATGCTAGAATCAGCTAGGAGCCAAGGATTCAGTCATGCAGCCCTGTGATCCGTCATCCGCCTTCTTTGGCTTCATGGGCGTGACCTCGGCGTCTCCAGCCAAGAGCATTAACACACGTTAAGCATCGCGAGTGGACATCTTGGGCTTCACCAGCTGTCCTTCCACGATCAAGCCAAGGCTCGTTTTTGCCAACCTTGGCGTGCTTGGGCTCTACTTAGCTCATGCGTGTTATGATTATTATTATTATTATTACTATTATGATATTTTTTTTCTCTCTCCCTCTCTCTCTCTCTCTCGAACGGTCGGGGCATCTGTACTTATGCCGGTGACTCCGCCTGAGGCAGCTTACGGAACAGCGAAGTCAGGTGTGGGAATTGCATCGATGGGGGTTATGCGGCCTGACATGATCATGCGGCTTGGCCACATGTGGGCTTCAAGCATCGCAGACGGCGGTTCTTGCCGATGGTGGCGGGCTGCTATCCAGGAAGTCAATCATCCCAGTAGTCATGGCCGGAGTTCTGGGCATTTATGGCCTCATCACAGCTGCAGGGCGCTCGGTGTTGTAGAGATGACACGAGCCTGGTGTGCCTTTTGAGAACTGTTGAACAGTCGTGCGTATTCCGCCATTGCGCTGACACATGCTGCAGATTTGTCTTCAAATTTTTTCGGCACAGGTTATCATCAACGGAAAGATGGATGCAGCTAATTACTCAGCCTATTCAGGCTCCTCGGCCTCCGCTACGCATTGCTTCACTATACTGGGCACCAGGGCAGACAAGAAGAGCGCGAAGATTCATTGCAGTACCAAGCCCGAAGCCCGAAGCTGCTAGAGCCAAGTCGTGGAAACACGTTGGAATGCCCAGGCTACGCACATCTCGGAGCAGGGCTGACTGTGGGCATGAGCTGCATGGCAGCAATTGCAACCTTGTGGTACGAGGTGGTATGGTGAGAGCTGACTGCCGACTACCTCCCTGCACATCCCTGCACTTCAGCTCCCCTCGCCCTGGCCTCTTCTCTGGGCTGTGGTAGGAAAACAAGACTGAATGTATGAGTTTTAAACAGAACCATCTTCGCGAGGCTCTTTAGCTGCCGGCTTGGCCATTGGTATTGTTGGAGATGCGGGTGTGGCTCGGACAAAGAGCCGGTCCCTGGCTAACGTGCACATAGGGTCTCCAGCGACTCGCGCTTGAGCGCAGCTTCTGAAATCGTTGTCGTTAGTGGTGATGAATACGTGGCCGGTTAAACAACAAGATCTGATTGGAAAGATTCTAAGTCTTCTCTAAGTTGGTAAAAACTCACGAGCACATGCTAGCATCAGATTCGCTGAGGTCCGCGCAAACGCCCAGCAGCCACGTTTGTTCGTGGGCATGCGTCTCGCTTCTTAAGTGTGTACGTACTGTATGTACTTTGTCTTTGACATAGCACGTGATCCGTAAGTGTGCTTCGATGGCTTCCTCAGGATTCTCATTTTGATTTTTGCCGAAGCCTTGGGCCTCTACGGCCTCATTGTTGGCCTTGTCGCTCGACTTGGTATGAGCGAGCTCCAAAACCCAAGAGACGGATGATGTCGTCTCCAATGGTCTTCACATGACCATCTCTTAAAAGACTAGCGGAGCATGCCTTTCTTTCAGGTAGTTGCGTCCACAGCAGAAGGCAAAGGCAAGGGGCTGTGTGACCCGGCAGCAACTCAGCCACGGTCGCACTGTTACTGTTGCCACAGATACACTGAGGAATTCTCAGTGCATGTAGCACGTCTATATAACTGATCAAGACTGGCGGTGTTGGTAGGCAGGCCACATTCACAAGTGCCCACCGAAATTATGGATAAGTGTTTTCGAAAAAAATAGGTCGGAGCAAAGCTCATCTTTAAGAGAAGTCGCCCGACTTGGCACTGAACCCGAACGGGGTCTGAAATCGCAGCAGAATGCGCAGGTAGTGAGATGCCTAGTGCTGGATGCAGGCTGTCAGTTCAATGCTCCAGCCGTGTCACTTTGCAGGCACGCCGTATGCCTGAAGCATCTGAGCAGCTTGCGCTGCATGTTGCTGAGTGGTGGTGCTCCGCTGCCGCATCGTGAGGGACCGGTAGGTTGACGACCGGTACTGCTTACAATGCGAGGTCTGATTGCACCAGCTTTGGTGGGCAGTGTCACGCAAACACTGGAAGAAATCAGCAAGAGCCTGGCGAGGTACAGATCAAGGCTCGCCAACAAAGGCAGCACTCTGTGTACGCACGGGTAAGCCAAAGTTGTCATATTGTCATTTCCTCTAGATAGGTGTCGTGCAAAGGATAGTCACTTCGCAACATTTTGTTCCCCGTGCTCGCGACGACGTGTTGTTGTCATTTCGCACCGGAAACGGGGCGAAAGCTGTTCTGAGTGCATCCGTCACGAAGAAAATTGCATCGCGTGGCATCCCCTGCCCGACGTCATGGTGCTCTGTAAACACTATCAGCACACCCCAAGGGACAATGAAGATGTTCGTTGGCTTGATGCAGGCACTGTGCGCGTGTTTGGCCAAGCCAGCTTGCCTTTGGACCTCATCTCAGACCTTACTGGATGGGTCGAAAACTCTCAGGCTAGTCAGCGGAACTTCAGCTTCTGCCAAACAAACCATGGTACTTGCATCTCTTCGAGGCTGCTTACCAGCAAAGCACGAAGCATCTGAGGGAATTCGACCAGAAAACATCCGGGGAACGACAGTCGGCCTTGCACCTGCAAGCGACACAATGCTTCCGTGAGAGCCCAGTGCTGGCACTAAGCATTTTCCATCTGAGCTCTTCGAGCAAAATCTCGCACAGATTGAAGGCCCGACGTGGGCGTACTGTGGGGTGTCTTTGGCTTCAGATCTGGACTGGATGTTTTTGGAACGTGTTCCGAGGCGCCAAGGGAAACACCACGGGCGACTTAACTGACTGTTAAATATGAGACACCAGGCTTTGGAAAGCACATCCGCCTTGGTGGAAGCAGCGACACGACGACTGAAAGAAGACGTTTGCAAACAATAAATTATTCGCGGAGCAGCAGGTCACAGAGCATGCGCCGTTCCATGGAGCAGTTTGGAGCGGTTTGCACCGATGATGTATCAAGGTGGGTGTCAGCAGCGCTTTATTCTTCAACAGGAGGCAGGGTTGCATGCAGTCTGCTTTGCACACGGGAAGTGCGCCTTGCAAACGGCTGAGATCTTTGTCCAAGTTCCCAAATCCGGCTCCAAACGTTTGGGCTGTCGAGCAGGTACTCCTTGCAGCAGTGGTGCAGCTTGATGGTCGTCCGGCTCTGGTTGAAAGCCCGTTCAATGCAGTTTCGTCTCTTGACAGGCATCGTCATGCATCCGCCAAAGTACTTGCATGTTCCAGCACCTGATGTTGCCGTGGATGGGCATCACTTGGCCACACTGCTGCCGATGCGTACAATTGGCTCATCACAGATGGGACCTTGACGCCAGGCTGTGTCCCTTGGTCTCATCACGTTCTACTACGTTAAGGCCAAGGCTTCGTCCCAGCTGCTCTGCATGCTATGGCATGTTTGCGGGCCGAATAACTGCATTGTTGTGAGATGCTAGTCGGTTGCAGTAAGCCGAAGGGGCGCTCCATCGCGCTGTGGGGTTGCAGCTGACCACTGCCACGCTTGTAGTGGTAATTTTCTCGAGCCTGCCTTACGTCTTTTGCGGCGACCAATACTCCGACAACACACAGGGGTTGAAGATTCGGCCAAATCCCTCTTATGCGACATTATTTGTTTCACAGCTTCCGAAGCTTGCCATGCTGGAAAGCGCAACGCGTTTGTCACAGCTCTTCTTCGAGGAAGGCCTCCGGAGTCTAACCTGTTGGCTTGGGAATCCATTTGGAATTTGGAAGTAGTTCAGACAACGGTCGTTGGATTGAGAGAGCCGGGCATGATGCGCAATTCGATAATCCTGGCTGCTTTGCGAGGCAAGCTGGATGTGAGCAATCGCCTCGATGATGGGTTTCGAGAAGCAGGTGCTGAGATGGACCCGCTGGCACCTGGCGTTGAATGCTTGCTCGTAGACAGGAATGAGGACGAGCCTTTACAGCAATTTGTCGAGCGGTGCCGCAAGAAGCTGCGGAAGGCAAAGGACGAGGCGGCGCAAGCTATGGTACTGGCACTGCTGGTGTCAGATGCATGCGGTCGATCGGGTGTCCATGCATCAGACTTGCAGGCCAGGCATGCAGAGCTAGTCGCCGGCCAACGGCGGACAACTGGTGTGGTGTTGTTAGGAGATCTTCTAGGTGAAGTCGCAGCTTCCCCAGCTCGGAATTCTCGAAGCCGCACTGGTGCCGCATTGAGTGAGCGGGCCATTCTCTTCAAAGCCGTAGCAGATTGGCTTGGTACTTTCGGTTGCACTCTGCAACGTCAGCAGAGCGCATTGTTCAATGTGGTCAACATCAGTCAGATGCCCTGCGTCGTCGACCTGCTCTTTGACCCTGGTGCCCTCTATGAAGATCCTTCCGCACGGGCTCACGAGCATCTTGCACGGGAGGGGGAACATTAGTACTAGGACACCCCAACCGCCGATGCAAGGAACCACTGTAGCATTATGTAGAATTGGGGCTTGTAGACTCCGATCCTGCGTTCGATATGTGTCGGAGCAAACTGCTCTTCGCAAGGTACCGAAGGCTTCTGGTTAGCGTGTGCCAGGGGCGATCTCTGAAGGAGGCCACGCCACCATCTTCAAGGACGGACCTCAGCGGCCAGATGCCACGGCCTCCTTGGCACGTAGAACCATGGGAACTCGAAATCTCACGCGGTGACCGCCCCCTTGCAGGAAGACTTTAGCGTGTTTTTTGTTTGCAGGCCGTTTTGTCCAGGTGTATCTAACGTCAGGTCAAGCAAGAAAGGCTAGTTCGGTTTCTACACAGCGGTTCGTATATTTCGCATACTAACTCGCGCATCAGCAATGAGGAATTGGCAGGGGTGGCTTCGGAGAGGTATTTCATGGGCGATGGGCTGGCGTCCGGGTTGCAGTGAAAGAGATGAAGGATAGCTCACGTGCACCGAGTGATGCTGATGTTGTGGAGTTTTTACTCGAGATCGCGATGCTGTCCCAACTGAACCACCCGAACGTCGTCCGCTTTTGGCGAGGCTCGACAGAGATGCATTCGGGTAGCCGGAGCTTGCTGATGGTCACGGAGTACATCAAGCAAGGAGGTCTCTCCAGGCTCTTGCACGGGCATGGAGGGCCGGCACTGCCAGATCCGCTGACGCTGGGGCAGTCTCTGTCTTTTGCTTTGGATGTTGCCCGTGGCGTGCAGTACCTCCACGGCCAGCGCATTCTTCACTTGGACCTGAAAAGCCCGAACGTCTTGTGCGCTCCAGTCTGGACTGCGAAGTTATGTGACTTCGGTCTGGCGAAAATGCGGGGTGAGGCGACATACGTGCAATCGACGCTGCAGGGTGTCAGTCCGGTGTGGGCACCACCCGAGATGTTCGATGGCAAGAGCGGAGGCTTAACGGAAAAGGCTGATGTCTACAGCTTTGCCGTGATTTTCTTCGAGCTCTTGACGAAGCAAGTGCCTTTCGCAGAAGTAAGCTCTGCCAAGTTGCCAGCAGCCAAAGCCGCGGGCCAGCTCCCTCGCATCCCAAATTCAGTGCCGGCAGACTGTGCTGAGTTAATTTTGCAGTGTTGTGCAGCAAATCTTTTGGGCAGGCCCTCGATGAGTGGGGCCGCAGCCAGGGTCAGGGAGATTGCGCAGTCGCACGAGATACAACTGGCAGAGGTCAAGCCACCTGCTGCCTTGCTGCGGTTCGATGATGACCAAGAGAGAAGGGTGCAAGAAGCTGAAGATGCTGCAGCCCAAACTTTGATCGATGTTGACAAGCAGCGGGCCCATCTTCGCATGGAGCTCTCAGAACTACACAGACAGATTGAAATCGCCAGGAAGCGCCAGGCTGCAGAAGCTGCAGAGGCCCCGAAGAACTCCGCCAGTCCGAGCCGAGAGGATGCAGCCGGCACTGGCGCCACTGGCACCGCTCCCGATGACTCCTGGTGCGATCCGTTCGTGCAAGAAGTCGCTGGCGCCAAATTTCGCTGCGCTCTTTGCTCCAAGTTGTTCCGCGGACCTGAGTTTGTCAAGCGGCATCTGGAAGCGAAGCACAGAGACGAGGCAAAGCGACTTATTGAGGACAAATACTTTGATTGCGATGTGTCCCGAGAGGATGCTTTGCCGGTTCACCATGCAGTGGGAACTGCAGTCGGCAGAAAGGGTCTGGGCTGGGTTTCGCCATGACCATGACGACCATGGTGCTCAACGGCATCACAACGCATCGCAGTCATCCGTGACGCAGCCACGATCCTCGGCGGAGTGCGATAGTGCGGAGATCACAGGCAATGCTGGAGACTACATCGACCTTTCTGTGACAAATGGTGACGATGTGGTTTCCTGAACCTTTGCGTGGTATCTAGACAAAGCGGCCAACATCGGTGCCGGCACGATCGACAGCCTGGGAATGTTTGTTCAGTTTCGGCTGGGAGTGTTGGCCAGACATGCCGATGTCGCAAGCTGCGGTGAATAAGGCCGGGAGCAGCGCAAGAATCAACTTCATGGCGAACGGATGCACGCGGCGCTTTGAATCGAGACAAAGGTGCGCTGCGATAGTGGGAAGATTGCAACCAGTCCCCGTGACGTGAGCGGACTCGTGAGCGGTTCGTGACGTCATGGCTTCTGTGTGCGCGCATCTAGGTGCAGAGTCATGCCCAAGTCGAATCAGCAGCTGGATGGTCGCGAAGGAGCACGGTAGACACATCTACATACCGTGTGCTTTCAGTTGCTGTTCCAAGCCGTAGCAGAACAACAGAGGGGGGGGAGGGGGGGGGGCAGGGCGCCGCGAAATTGGAATCAGGATTGAAGTGGTGGGCATTTTGCTGGTGTTGGGTTCGATATGCTTCAACTGCGGCAGCCTTACAGCTGAGCTGCAGCAGATGCACTGAACCATCCAAGATCGAATCTGAGGCCTTGGAGCGCTGCTGGTCGAGCGTTTTCTGAAGGGCAGCGGAGAGCTGTATGAACAGAAGGCTGCTTCCCATTCTTGCAAGTTCGTTGATGAAACAAGACGATGCAGTTGTTGGCACCGTTGTTTGCAAAGTCATCAGGCGCAGCTTCTGCTGGGTGAAGTGCTGGTGAACTCCATCGTGGTGTTTGTGCTCTTCTGAGCTTCCGGCGGCACCGGGCGAGTGAGTTTCTGCTTTGGATTCTTGAGGTGATTCCGCTTTTCATCTTCGATCAGGAGGCAAAGGGGCAAGCCTGGTGGATTTCATTGTAACTCTTCAGACAGTCCGAAGCCAGGTCTACGCAACGATATCTCCGTGGCATCGTGGTTTCTTTTCCGGTTGGGATGGCCCTCGGCTGAGAAAGGTTCGAGGCTGCTTCAAAGAACTCATCGGTAACTCCGAGAAACAGGCCGCTGGTGTAAACAGCAGGTTTTGCGAGCCTCAGGTCGAGTGCTTCTTTGTGCAGTTCTGTGGATTCCAGCTGGTTGGACAGCAACCATTCTGGTGAAGCCCGTGCCCTGGTGCCACCTTCTTCGAAACACTTCGGACAGTTCTTTAGTTGAGGCGCTGTTCCAACCTGCTCAAGACCGTTGCCCAAGCATCGTCATCTGCAAATACCTCAGATTCGTCAGGATTGGATTTTGGGCGGGTTCAGGGTATGCCACTGGCAGTGCGGAATGGAATGTTTGCATGTGTGGGTCGGCCTTCCAAAGCAGAGCACTCGAGAAGTGACCCAGCGATGCTCGCGCAGACTGTTGCGGTGGACACAATGTGCCCTGACCCGTCTACCCCAGGCGAAGGTCCCGAAACTAGCGGACTAGCGGCTACTAGCGAGTCCCAACGGGTGAGGAAGGAGCAGCTTTCACAACTGCTGATGCACGCACATGCTGTCGGCCTTCTTCTGAACTGAAAGGTTCTGACCTATGTCTTCTCGGTGGTGCCATTGAGCCGTGGACCATCGACATGGCGGGATGGGATGGAACTGGTTTCCCAGTACGTGCTTCAGTAACGTTCAGGATGTTTCGGACTTTTTGGTAGTTTGGCCCCGGCATGCGGGCGTTGTCCTATTTGTTTGTATTCGTTTGTATTCACTGATTTCGCTTCGGGCTACTGAGCTTGAAATTTCTGTAATCTTCTGCATCCTGCTCCGTATTGTGAGCTGTCGCTAACTTTTTCAGCTGGCACCTCGACTTCTGAGATCATTCGCAAAACGTGGTTATGCAAATGCAATTGAGTGCTGTTGAACCAGGTTGAACCCGTTGCATTTTGCTATGTCTGCTATGTGTCGTCAGTGTATCTCGCCCATGCTGAAGGGCACACATCGTGACCTGGCTGGGACCGCCTCTGACACCTGAGCCTGTGTCCTCTCCCGTTGCCGGAGGCTTAGCAAAAGGTAGCCGTATGTGGCCGTATTTACTGGCGAGTGGCGTTGCAAGGTCTTGATTCCTTGTTCGTTCTTATATGACGTGAAATCAATTTATGCGGGCCTCAAATCTGGCAGCTTGTCAGACCTTTTGAACAAGAACATGCACGTCCGCCGTCGTTGCATCGTTGGGCTTCCATACGGCACCAAGGTCCAAAAGTCGAAACATGAATCAAGCACATGGCATCATCCTGTGACACACACCGTCTGCAAACCGCGGTCGAGTTGACTTGAGGTCTTGCTGGCCATTAGCGTGATGCTTGCAGTTGGGAGCCAAGCATGTTTGCACTCCTATTGGCTATCGCACCCTCGCACACTGTATAGCTCCCACGGGGAACCTTCATAACTTTCAAAAGCCAAGTTGTACATCGGGGGATGTTCTGTTCGAGGTTTGTGTTAAATTTGAATTCCTCGTTTTGCAAATGGACATCATGTCTATGTAGGCAGCGGAGCAAGACATCGAGCTGTAAATGCGTGCGATGTACTACCTGGAACACCATGCATGCTTTGAACGTGGAAACTCGGTTTGTGTTTTGCGCGAATCATGGAGCATGGAGTTCGGGGATAGCGCATCTTTTTTGCAATCTTGCACCAAAGTTTTTGTGCTGCGTGGACACATACTTTCGACCCAAAACTTCTCACATCCTTCAAATGCCATACAACACATGGGGGGGCCTTGGTACCCGCGGATTGGACAAATCCCCTACGCCCAACGGAAGAAGAGAGAGACAGAGAGAGAGAGAGAGGACCGCGGCTGCGCGCTCGCGTGCGGGGGGAGGGGCTTGACCTGCCCCGAACCCCATGGCCCGTAGAGAGAGAGAGAGAGAAAACATACACCTGCCTCCCTGCGCCTAGTACGACCAGTCTGCCGAGGGGGAAACCACAAAGGTAGTCAGCAGTTGAGTCATGTTAAGCATGTATTAGCTTGCCGGCTGGGGCCTTACTTATGCGGTCATGTTGTTTGCTGTGTTTGCAGTAGTCGCAGCTCACCCGTCAATACGAGCGGGACAAGCAAAGCGCGACGTAGGCACATTGCTTGACCTGCAAACCTTACCTGTTGCTGGGGGGAACCTACCTTAAGCAATTGTGCATCTTACCCTGTGGCAGCTGTCTTTCACTGAGCCGGGAAAGTGGGGGGGGGGGAGAACACAGTCTCTTGCCCTTGCGTGCAGCCGAACACAAAATGGGGAAGGGATGCAATAAGACACCTGTGGACTGCAGGTGCGCGCTCGCGCGCGGAGGGTTGGGCGGACGTACCCAGTTCTCCCCACCTGGTAGAGAGAGAGAGAGAGAGAGACATACTGCTCATGGGGACTGCCCACTTACTGGCACCGAGGCTTGCAGTCGCATTTGCACTGCTCCAAGCACCCGTGTGTTGCTTGGTGCTGCCCTTGTGATGCCCGCCAATGTAGTGGAGTCGCTGTAATTGTGTTGTTGTACCGGATACGCCTAGGTGTCATGCCCTTATGGTCATTTATTTGTCCTGCTTGATGGCCCACAACATGGTAGGCTCTCGTTTCCAGGTGCGCAGCATGCCAAGACCGAAGGGCTCAACAACTGGATAGCTTTTAGCTACTCTTTTTCTTCAATGGGTTTGTGTGTTGTCGGAACCGGAGGTCGCACAGGGGAAATGAATTTTCTTCTCCTAGAGCATGCCAAGCTCGTGCCATTTCGCAAAGGCCAGACACTGTGATCCTTGTTTGTCATGTAATCTTACTTTCGGGGCTTTCCCCTTGATTGAGTCTGCTTTGTGGCTGATGGATGATACTAGCCTTCGTAGCGCACGAGTGCTTCACTCTTCCCTCCGCAACAGGCGGGGGCGCCGACGCGCGCGCGGGTGGGGGAACCTCCCCCTCCCACAACGCTGTCGAAAGAAAGAGAGAGAGAGAGAGAGATAATTTTGGTGTACTGACTCCCCCCGAAAGCCCTGCGAAGTGCCGGGGGCCCGATGACCGGGGGGGCCTGACAAGCCCCTTTTGCTTGAGGCAAGAAGAAGAATTTTGGCTCAAGTCGACCCACCGCTCTCCCTTGTGGGGGCACTCGAGGACGGGCCTTTGGGTCTGAAGGCTTGAGCCCTCCGCCGCAGGCATTGCGTCGTCCTTCTCCTCCCTCTGAACCCGGCCGCGGCCCCCTGGTGGCCCGCCAGTAGGGGGACGAGGCATACTACAACCTTGAGGAACTCGGGGAATTTGGTGAACTACCGGTACCTGGTCCTCCAGAATGGCAAGCAGTTCAAAAGACCAAAACCGCCGAGAGACCCCGCGACTACGGCGGCAAAGACCAGTACCACATGGGGGGATTAATGCCGCCTTGCTGAAAAACTGCGAGCCTTGGGTATCACCTGCAAGGCGTGCTTGGATGGCCCGTTCTATGATAAACCCCATGCCGGGGGGGAAGGGTGCTACAAGCACCAAGTCGCCACTGGAAAAATTGACCAGTGCGAGCCGACCCTGTGACACACGCAAGCGCCTGGAGGGGGATGACACCCAAGAGCCAGTGGCCACACCAGCCGAAGCCACACAGGCCTTTCGGAACGACAATGCATGCCGTGCTGTGGGGTTCCTTAGGCTTGATTTGTTTAATGCGGTATTGCAGTTTTTCGGGGAAGTAAATTAAGGCATGTGGACCAATTTGTGCAGGTGTCCATCTAAACACACGGGCGAATATCTGGCCCAGCACTGTGGCTAGCTTGCAAGCTGGAGTGGCCGGCATCGCATATCCCGCCAACCCTGTACACCAACGCATCACGGCCTCATGACCGAACCTTTACGGCAAATGCTGAGTACCTGCGAATGCGACAGCTTCACCATTTCACCCCGTATGTGGACCGAGTCGGACGCAGGCTTCAATTGGTAGGATACAACTAATTAAGTCCCGGCGCAGCACCACATTCCCCACATCAATGTCAAAGCCACGAGTGAAGCACTCGCGAAGTACAAGCAGCTATGCGAAGCAAGAGTACAGCTGAAAACGGTGGTTTGTTGCTAGTGCTTCGCGCCCCCTGGACACCCTCATATATATTGCACGGACGAAGCAACAAATACCATCAGCACCGTCATGCAGTCTCGCTCTGTCTCTTGTTTGCTTGCAAGGGGAACCCTCTCTCTCGGTCTCTTCTCCCATTCTCACACTTCTTTTACAGGGCATGAGGGACTGCTTAGGTCCCCCGACCACTTGGGCCCCCCATGTGTTATGGGGTTTTAAAAGCGTCACACAAGTTCACACTGGTAAGCGGATTAAATTATTGTCATAACGACTTCTGTGAGTCCAGATACAAAAGGAAGGGGGGCGCGCAGAAAGCGTGGATCCTGTCGCCAGGTAAGGAACGAAGGAATCAAAAAAGCAGGGCATGCTCAGCACCAGAAAGAAGGTGGGTGCTGAACTCAGGTCCGGCTCGGTCCGATTCATACGCCGGGGAAGGAGGGGGACGGGAGGAAAGGGAGGAAGCAAGGAAGCAAGGAGGAATAAGTGCAGTTTATGGCGCTGCCCTTCAACAGATCTTGCATCTTGCATCGAGCGTCTCACGCCTTTGTGACAATACAAAGTCAGTGTTGCCTTTCGCTAGGCACTGAGCTTTGGTGCAGATCGGGCCGAACGCGACAGCAGGCCAGGGTGGCAAGGCACTCGGCTGTCACAAGCTCATCCGAAGATGCTGCTGCAGACAGGTCCCAATCTTCGACAAGAAAAGCACTGCCAAGGCTGGGCTCACCGGTTGCTTGGCACGCGTACAGTCGAAACAGTTGTTGAACCAGATTGCACAAACTCCTTAGTCGCCATCCCGATTGGAGCTGTGCGACAGCATGAATCCTCACAAAACCACGAGTCCTCCGGCCTCCGTCGCGAGCAGCGCCTACCGAAGCCTCCGGAACAACCTTCAAAGCAACTGTTGCTCTTAAGTTCTGAAGGCACGGTATTGCGCCACAGGAACTGCCGGTAGAAGCGGTCCATAAACCGTTTAAGGACCCTCGAAACAAATACGGCAAGCCGCAACCCTTATGGACAGCGGATAAACAAAGTACAAGCCGGACGATTTTATCGGCATTTCCTGACGCCCACATGGATGCCGGTATTTGTTCAGCATTGTCGAATCCCAATGAAAACTTCGTCAAACCCACAGGCCATCCAGACCAAACCATGCCAGCGCACAAGAAACATCGGAAACCCTTGCAAATCCCCACCTAAAGGCTAGTAATTGTAATTCCGTTATTCTGAATTCTGCCACGAATCTTACTGGGAATCTCGGGGATCTTGCTGGCACTCTTCCGGTTTACCTGGCATTGGCCGGCAGATTGCAGTTTTCCCATACAAACCGTTTTCCCAGCTTCCTGTATCTAGCTTGTTCACAAGATCTCCTCAACCTGTTACCACTTTCCGGGGCGGCCATAGGTCAACTATTCCTCCGAAGCCCCCAACCGAGCTGTACAAGAATCTACATGGTCATTGCGGATTTTCTGCAGGATCTCGCGTCTGCATAGCTTAAGTTTGAGTTGAAGACGCAGCATCCAAAGACACATTCAAGGGCAGTTCCAGACTGAAGCTCCAATTTTTTCTTTGTTCGATCCAGGAGAGACACAGCCATACAAGGAAGTGGTATGAACCAACACATACAAAATGAATGGGCGGCCGTTGATCTTTTGAAGCCCTGCGACTCTGGAAGCCGTAGCCCCCCTCTCTGCAGAACGAACAGAGCACGGAGTTTACTCCAAGCTAAGATATGTGCAACATGAGCAGTCAGGACAAACAAGCACAGGGAACTGGCACTGGCCCCTATTTCACGAGCTGTATTCAGAGAACTCCGTATGCGTTGGCCAGTGCACAGACTACGCTGTGCGCCTTGAGACTTTGAGCATGCTTTTGGGTTTGTTGCTTTGATGATCCCAATACACATTCATCTATTCCAGGCATAGCAGCACGTTGGAGATGAAGCAGGTGGAGGTCCAACCGAAATAAATTGCGGACAGTGTGATTGTTTCAGCATGTTTCAGCAACTCGATATGGCCACAGACGTACAGATTGCGCTTGACTTGGGGATGGGCACGGGTAAATGTCGCGTCTAGGGGGCTTGACAGGTGGACTGGAAGCTGGATCACGCGTACCAGATGCAGGCGATACAGTGGGTGGGAGTCGGCATGTTGTCGACATTCTGCGGAGATTTGTGCTAGAGCATGTCACCACTCACAGCTGTCCTCAAAATGAGTTCCCAATTTGAGATGTGCTAAACATCGGGGTTTCCAGCGTCGGGTATGTTCAGTTTGCATCGGATATTAGCAGGTTCTGCCTCAGAGTCGTCCGAGACAGGTGGCTCCGCGCCAGCGATCAAGGCAAACCAGCATTGAGGATGGGGGAATGGAAACAGCCTCCTCCGCTGATAGTGTTCTACTCCCTGCGAAAGCCAGCTAATTTTGGGACGAGCAGGCGCCCAGCTTAACTTTTTACCTCAGCGGCATGTTTCTCTGGCCACGCGCTTGCCTTTGAGCTTTGCATTCGCGGCAAATCTTCGTGAAAGTTAATGAGAACACTGCACGAGTGAACTGGTTCATTGCTCTGTTGTTCGGGTGCATTGAAGCAAGGCTCTACGCCCAGTTTTCTGTGCACGGACACGCGTCAGCTGTGTGCTGCCGTTCTAGGGCGTGCTTGTCTTCTGTCTTGCTGTAGCAAGCAGTTTCCTCGAGTCAGGGGAAGGCTCCTGAATAATACGCGGCCCAGCCCAACGACTGACAGCCTCGTTGCGAAAGACTCCTAACGACAGAAGCCGCCCAGGGCTTGTCGGCTGCGGTGCGAGCAAGTTTGCCGTTCCACAATTCTGTTTGGCCGACGCCGTGGGCTCAGTCCATGAATGCTGATCGAGCAACACTAGCAGGGAGCCCTGGCGGACAGCTTCAAGCGTTTGCACATGGATGTTGAGTCCGGCGTTCGAGTACTGGCAGAGCGGCCTGCCGACGACTTCGAACCCACCGATGAGGAAGTGAAAAACTACGCAGAGTGGCTAGGGTTGGATCCCAAGGAAGACACGGACTTGATGTACCTGGCCAAAGAGGGATTGAAGGCCCCTCTGAAAGATGGCTGGAAGCCGTGCACCAACTCAGACAACGAGATTTTCTACTTCAACTTCATGACAGGTCAGACCTCTTGGACTCATCCAGCTGACGAGGCTTACAGGACCATGGTTCAGGAAAAGAAGCGGGCACGAGGACAAGCAGTGGGCGTGCCCGTTGCTTCTCGGCGCAAGCTTCTCATGCCTTCTTCTTAATGACAGCATGTCTAAAGCGCATCCTAAAGATTTTTCCACGATGCCGCTGTCCCAACAGCCAATTCAGCCAGGTGCATGCTCCCTACAGTGGAGTCGGTCACATTCCCATAGAGGGGCAGGCTGCGGGCTTTTGTGGTCTCGCTCGGCGGATATTGTTTTGCTGTCGTCGGAGAGACGCACACCCTCATACACAGTGAGTGCCAATGAGTCACCGCATTGCGGAGATGCGGCAGGGTTCCGGTTTGCACTTCCACCCACGCGATTTGCCATGCCGAGAATCTACTGGTATTAGGAGCATGTTACAGGAGATCCGAGTCGTGCAGTGAATCGTGGGATGGGAGGGTGGTCACACAGGTGTTTGTGCTGCACCTTTTCTTTCTGTAGATTTTCTCGCTGAGCGACGGAAATTTTGTAAGCGCATATGCTTCAACTTCTTGAGGATCAGTGGCACCGGCATCAGCTTAAACAGCCTTCACAAGCTATGTTGTGTTGTTCTCATTGGGCTTGCGACGACGTGGCTAGGCCTCCTAGGTAGTTATGATCCGCATGTCAGCAGTCACTGCTTGCTGGCAGCCGAGTTGTTCAAAGACATTCCGTGTGCAATGGCCAAATTGCAAAGCAAGGAGCTTGCAAAAATGAGAACCGTTGCCGTGGGTGCATATCTCCACATCATCGCTTAGATGAGTGCAGCTTTGCTGCACAGACATAAAGACCCATCGGAGCTATCGTCTGCCTGACATTGCCAGGCTCAAGGAGTCAATGGAGCCTCGTGGCACAAGTTCAACATATCGTGCAAACTGGGAGCGAAGCCAGCAACAGCTTCGCCATCAAGCTCTGAGCAAGCACCCTCATAATTACTTCAGAAGGCATATCAGGCAGCGTCGACAGCATGGTTAACGGAGTGAGGACCTCAGCGGCATGCAACGTTGTTACCAATTCGCAGGCGCACAGAGGGACTGCAGATCATCGTATTTGCACACATTCGGCCCAGATCGTTTCGCTGTTCATCCTCAACCGTGCAGTCCTTAGTGGCCTTAGTGGCACTGTCCAATGCTTCAGGAATACTTGAGACGTCTTCTTGGCGACTCAGGTAACGGATCCCTCATTTACAGTCATGAGAGAGAGGCCTGGCCTTGCCGAGTCGGGGACATGACAGATTGATCAACGTTCCAACTGGCCTTGCGTTATGATATGCGTTCTGGTTGGCTTGTTAATCTTCACAAACTGATGCAGGGTGCCGCTTCACTGTCGTCCAATGACAAGATCCGCCTGTCATCTACGTTTCATGGTCCAGAGCTCAGTTTCGCTTCGTCGTAGTCCTGACAGTTTCGATTGGATACCTTTCGAACAAATCCTGACCTTGCATTGAATCTCACTCAAAAGCCTTTTGAGCAGAAGACTTTGACGCATGACTTGCTGATTATTCACCCAACGGGCAGGCTTGCGCTCACACCCAGGTTCAGCCAGCTTTGGCTTTAAGGCGCTGTGCTGATGCAAATCAGCTGTACCAGGTCAATTCGAAGATGTACAGGGTCAAAAGGACTCTATCTGCAATCTGAGGCATCAGCGCTATTGCAGCGCAGATATCACCTGTGAAGCGAAGTGCAGGCCGAGGGGCTGCACAGAGCTTGCTCTTGCTAGCAAAGGATCACAAGGGAGCATGCCATGTCGAAGCGTTTTTTCGACAGGACGGCTTGGCTTCCTGCAGCCAACTGGCATCAAGACCCTAGATGCTGACACGTTCCTCGCATAAGAAGCCCGAGGAGCATGCATGCAGGGGATGGTTATACTCAGCGAGCCGAGGTTTCGTCTGCAATGTTTCCACACGGCAACCGGCATGAAGATCTTCTGTGTCCTCCTCCCGCCGCGATTCCCAGAAAATCTAGAGAATCTTCAGCTTTCATGAAATGTGATCATGACCGTGCTGCCAGCGCCAGGCCATACTTTGAAGTCGACCCGTTGCTCCGGCAGGCCGCTTTCGAACCTGCAGTTTTCCCCGTGATTGTATTCATTTCGGCACTCCTTTCCCGATTATTCCCTTCAGCTTTGCTGAGCTAGGTCTACGGCCTGTACAGCGACTATGTGTGCCTTGGCACTACTACTGTGCTCCGTAAGTTCATGGATAACGATCGCCCTGTATCAGTCGGCCAGCATCCAGCATTCCAACTCCTCCGCCATGCTTGACAGTGTCTGGCTGCTAGTCACACTGCTGCATGATGAAGTCAGGTAAGACCGAGCAGTCGAAGAGGGTGCATGATGGGACTCCAAAGGGACTCCTAACCCCTGCATGCAGCGAAAGATTCTGGACCTCAAGAGACAGATTCAGAAGAACATGTACCGGGCATTTACTTGTTTGGCGATGTTGGATGTGAGAAGCCATGTCGCTGAGCCAGCCCTTCAACATATGCAGTCACCAAGGTTGAAGAATCCTTTCTATGAGCTGGACATGTGCTAGCCACAGCTGCAAGGAAAACCGTTTTCCTGAGGCGTACTGCGCATGGTGCTCATGTGTGTGTCTGTGTGTGTGTGTGTGGATGCTTGAAATTCTCAGCAAGGCGGCTGATGCGGCTGCACTTCAGCATCTTGCTGCTCGCAGCCACCTGACCTTCTCAATCGTGCCAAGGCCCATTCGCTTCGAGCTGTTCGAGAAAGAGGTGCAGCGAGTCCTGGCTGAGTTCCAGCCCAGGCGCGCTGTTGTCGAACATTGTCAGTGCTTGTCATGATCATCTTTGCTCTTTGTTGCGCCTCGTAGCGTTTGTTGAGCGCGAGAAGTGTGGCAAGGCGGGATTGAAGGAAGGCAGGGCTCGCTTGCTCTCGACATATTTTTCAAACCATGCCGCTGTAGCGGTTGGCTATGAAGCATCTGGGCTCAAGTCGTCCCCCTCCAAACAAAACATGAAATTGATTGGTCTGTTGCAAGACATTGCTTTAGCTGTTTGAAGCCGATTGATGGGATGTTTACGGAGTCAGGTGACTGGCTGATTGTGGGCGAGAGCTTTGTGCACTTGGCCGAGAGGACGCAACTTCATCGTACCAAGCAGCTTGAAGATTCGATTGCACAGGACGGAGGATTGGTGAGCCGGTCTGCCAAGATCAAACGGTGAAGGTCGTTGCTCTGGGACTCCCACATCGGGGCTGGAGCTCCTCTCCCAGTTCCCCCGCACCTTACGGACCAGGGAATGTTGCTGTGATTCAGACAGCTGTTGGTGTGTCCGGGACTTGACGCCTCGATCTTGCAAGCAGAGAAAGTGCAGACCTTCTCGCTCGGGCTGTCCGTGCTGCTACTGCTAGTGAGCCCAGATTTGCATGAAATTTGCGGGAGCTGTTCCTTGTTGTCTTTCCGGCCCCGAACATGATCTACAGTACTAATACTAGAGTGCTTCCACTTCGTCGATTTAGAAAGCATTTGGATGGTCGTGTTCTTCTCAGACTTGGTGAGAGCCTGCTTAGCCTGAACCAGGGTGTGTTAGCTTGCGGCATATCTGGTGGCTCGCAAGCAACTGCAAACGAAGGGTTTTAGGGGGAGAAGGCCCCATGGCCAAAGCAGGCGCGCTGCACAGTACACGGTGAGTGGTGCCACTCCGGCATCCCCGCAAATGCAGAACCTGAGAGACCTCACAGTCTTTGTCGGTTTTGCGAGGACAGAGATGGGCGAGACGATGCGATCTTGGGAGGCAAAGAAGATGCGGGGTCCCGGCGCTCAGACTTCTCGTAAGAAGCTGCAAGACATTCCGGCGCGGACTGGCTTTCTGTTTTCAGGCGAGCCGGCAAAACACTGGAGCCCCAATCTCCAGACTAGCGTGGACGGACATTCCGGAGGAGTTCGGACAGAGCGGCCGGAGATGACGAGGAGTGAAGCCTGCAGTGCGGGCTACTGCGATTCGCGGGGACAGCAGAGCCAGGGACCTCGTGCAAGGATCCTCAGCTCCTCACGCGCAGGCCGAATGCACTGGCACCGAAACCAGTTCGCTTTGGCCTCAGAGGCTTAGATTCGCTGTCACTTTTACGGCTGAGCACAAGGATCTTCAGGCAAATGCAGGCATAACTGCGAGCAGGGGTGCTGCCTGCTCGTAATTCCCTGACAGCTGGCGTTCGTTCAGGTGCCATTGCCCAGCCGGCCGCCGAAGCAACCTCAGCATACTCAGCTTAGCTCTACTGTAGACACTTTGCAGCGGGCTAGTTAGGGAGATTGACGCAGCCTGTGCAAGCACACAGAGTTTCTGAACATGTCGCTCGGCTCATCGTATTCCAGCACCTGAATGCAAAGGAGTCTTGATCAACCGGAAGAGTTTATACCGCCAGAGCATCGACAGCACCTGATATACCTTGCGTGGGCCTTTGGCATGACATGATCAGATGAGAAATCCTGCCTTCGCAGTCGCTGAGTTTGAGGCGCTGTACAGAGACAAAGTGGACCAGCACCAAGCCGCGATGGCCAGGCCAAAGAGCCCAGAAGGGCGAGCCGACAGCTCAAGGAGCCTTTTTGCGGTCCAGTTTGTGCATGGTTGTGCAGACGTGAACGGTTTTTGCGCAAAGGCTCGGACCCCATCGCCAGCTGAAGAGGTGCCCAACAACTGCTGCAACGCGCTGCAGTCCAACATGGATCAGCTCACCTCAGACCCAGTCTAAGCCGAACAACGAATCATTCATCAATCGTTTGGTGCTGAGTTTTCGATCATGAAGCCTGTAGATGCACCACAACCACGCCATGCAGGCAGAGGCTGACGTCCATCCAACCAATGGTTTCGCTGCCACCACCGGAGGAAGTGACGCCATGCTTATTGCGTCCAATGCTTGGCATTGGGCTTGCCATCTTCCATAGCAGGTTGCTAGACCCAGACACGCCCGTTCTTTACCAATCCAGCTGTTTTCGAAGCGCTGGTGACGCTATCACACAGTTTTTGCTTGTCCCCAAGTGTTCCTTTCGTGGAAGATGGTCACCGCCAGGCATGATCGATCACTCTGGCAAACCCAACTTCGAGCAAAGGCCCTTCTCCGAAGATGATGTTTGCAGGTCACATCACTTACTAGACCTGTTTGTCTATTGCTGGGAAGAAGCCAGACTGTTCATGTGCTGTCAAGCTCCTGAACGCGCATGCCTTGGCAGGCGGCCGCACACTGCAGCAGCGCATACTGCAACAGTACCAAGCCTGGTCAGCATTGCTGTTGCCTTTCGATCGAGCGTTGTTCATTCCGCTTGATCGGCAGTAAGCTTGCCATAGTCGGTGCTTTGTGATTGGCAGCATCGTAGCTGCACATCGTAGTCGGGACTGCTGTGCTGCAGGTTAAAACGACTTCCTCAAGCGGTCTTGGTTACCTAGATGAACACACGGAGGCTTGGCCATGGTGGAGAGCCGGGAGCGCCAATCCACTAACCAACTTCAGCCTGCACCCGGCTCCGCAATCGATGCTCTTCAATAAAGTCTTGCTGCCGATGCTTTGGACCTTTATTGATCAGCAGTAGATTGAGGCTTGTTGAAGTTACAGTCAAGCACTACCACCGCCAAACACTTCGGTTGCAGTAAAGCCTGCAGCTACTTCTCTCACAGTTCACTTGACACAGAACCTTGTTCCAATCCGTTGTTAAGATTTTCCGAGGTGGGAGACACAAGATAAGAATAAGAGAGGAACACGAAGGCATTGACAGCAACAATATCAGCAGCAACAGCCAGACAGCGCCTTTCAACTGTGTTTTGTATTTGCCGTCCTGTTTGCTACAGTTCCGTTTCCTATCGTGACGTTAGCCCGTTTGTGATTCTGTGTCTTCGTGTGATTCTTGGAGTTGTTTTTGGGAAACTTCGAAGCCCCAACAAAGCTTTCCTGAACTTTCCTTCTCTTTCTTTGAGCGTCGTTTTGCTTGGAGCAGCCATTCTCTCTTCTGAAAGCCCTGGAGTCGGAGTAAAAATCGAGAGTAACAATTTGCGCATACAACGCATAAGCGAGTCCAAGATGTGCTTGCAAGCTCTGATTGGCATTGCGCTGAAACACAAACGGCGCTAGCACCGTGCGTACTATGTTGCAATGCGTGGCATCAGATGGTACATCCCAACACACAATGCATGCCACATGACAGTGTTACATTTTGTGGCGTGTCATGAACTCGACATAGCCCATGTGCAGACTGGAGTAAACTGCAACGGAGTCACCAGCCATGACGGCTTGGATGCATTGTAGTTAAGGTTATACTTTGGAATAGACAAGGCGCGCTGAAGGGGCAAGCCTTAGTTTGGTTAAAAGATTTTGGGTTTGTTCATCGTAGCGCCACCTGAAAGCTTTTAGCTAAGTGTGCAGGCAGGCGTTGGTTTCGATAAGCGGAGACAGCCGAATTGAATCAAAGGGTTAGGTCGCCCACTTCTGGGCGAAGTGA